TTGTGGGCTTGGGCAGCATTGGGTTGGGATGTTTTCGTGATGCACACTTTCTTTACATAAAACTCTCTTATACATGAGTTGCTGTGGATTTGTTTCTCTAAATTACCTAGACTAATACAGGGCCGCAGATCTTCACATGTTGACCCGTACCCCAGCCACACCCCTTTCATGAAACAAAACCATGGCAAAGGAGTCCAGTGAGTTGAACAGACAGCTATTAAAAGGAGCTGCTGTTGCTGACGACCTTCCTTACACCCACTGCCAAGCCGAGTTGATTCTGTCTCAGACTGAACCTGCCTCTGGGAGTTTCTGAGGCTTTCAGAGGAAGACAGCCTCGTCTTCCTCCTGCAGAGCAGTTGGTGGGTTGGAACTGTAGACCTTGTGGTCAGCAGCTCAGGGGAAGTCCTATGCTGTTCTACAGGGCCACCACGAGTCAGAATCAACTCGGTGGCAGCGAGTATCGATCGCACAGGAGCCCTGGTGTTGTAGGGGCTTTGCAGAGGGCTGCTCACTGCGAGGTCAGCTGTTAGAAATCACCAGCTGATCTGAGGGAGAAAGAGGAGGCGTTTTACTGCCGTGAAGAGCTACAGTCTCGGGATCCCAGAGGGGCAGTTCTACCCTGTCCTATGGGGTCGCTGTGAGCCCGCATCGACTGGACGGCAGTGAGGCCGAGGACAAAGCTGGCCATCCTGTGAATGGTTTCCAGGGCGGGATGGCGGGGCTTCCTTGAGTGGAAGGAGTTGGGGGCAGCAGCCAGCAAAGGCTTTTTCCATTCCTGCATGCTGGGGTGCCTGCTCCTGTGTCCCCATAGCCAGGCCCTGGGGTCGACATCCCGTCTTCTCTTACAGTTCGGCCGCACCGAAGTCATCGACAACACGCTGAACCCCGACTTTGTGCGCAAGTTCATTGTGGATTACTTCTTCGAGGAGAAGCAGAACCTCCGATTCGACCTGTAAGTGGAAGGCAGTGCTGGGGTTGGGGGCTGGTGCGGGGAGCCATGTCTCAGAGGCCATGGGGCTACGGGGCTTAGGAAGAGGGGAGGAGCCTAGAGAGCAGCAGTCCTTACCCACGACTCCTCAGGGGAAAGCTGTGGCCATCTGCTTTCGAAAAGGTTACAGACTTGGAAACCCCATGGGGTCAGTTCTACTCTGTCCTATCCGGTCACTATGAGCCGGCGTCGGCTAGAAGGCAGTAGTCGGTGTGTTTGGGTTTAGCCGATTCCAGCCTCACCTCTCAACGGCGTGTGGTAAGGGGTGTGGAGGGGGAGCAGAAGTGCCAGGCTCCCCCTCGCTCCCCCTGCCCAGGCGTTGGGCAAGCTACCTGGTTTTGGGGAGTTAGGGAAAGACCTTGAGGCCAGCTCTCGGCTCCGATGTGGGGATCCCCTTTCTCATGGTGACTGAGAGGGTGCCCGCTGACCTCTTCCCTCTGTCACCACCTGGCCAATGGGGTTCAAGGCACCTGCATGTTCACGTGGACCAATGGAAGGAGGCCTCTCCCTGAGGATGGCGGGAGGGCAGGAGGGGAAGTGGGTGTTTATGAGGTGCAGGGGGTTAGACAAGGCTACTTCCCACAGATCTGTGGACAAGGGCAGGACAGCGGGGAGCCTGGGCCCTAAGAGAGCAAAGGGCAAACACACAGTGGACAGAGGTGGGCCTGTGGGAGTGAGGTGGGAAACAGGCTGAGGAGCCCCACCACAGCCCATGGAAGAGAGGAAAGTGTGTGTGTGTGTGTGTGTGTGTGTGTGTGTGTGTGTGTGTGTGTGTGTGAGAGAGAGAGAGAGAGAGAGAGAAGCAGAGAGAGACTGG